GACCTTCGAACAGGTGAGATGATGGGCTTGCCGTTCCCGGCAGCGGAGTTCCATGAAAACGGAATCCCTACTGCAGCGGGTACCTGGCCATCTCTGGATGGTAGATAAGGAACAAAATCTTTGACTTCAAGTTTGATCTTAGTTCCATCTTTCTTCTTGAAATATGGGCGACTAAAGCTTTTCCAAACAAAATCCCATCCATCTTGAATACATCTCATCCCTACCGATATTACAGCCGGGGTATCGGGAAGAACATATGGATGAACTTCTTTGTCGATGCAATCAATATGAACAGAAGCTTGTTGGTCAGCTGATTGGGAACCATTTGCAGTGATTAATTCAAGGGGTTCATGAGAGTGATACACGATGTCATCGGGAATCATCTTGCTGCAAACTAAGTCCTTTGCACTACCAGTGTCAGCAATCCATGCTATCTCAGCGGATGCGTTACGCTGCTGGGACGGCATATGTCCTGGCAGGGCATTCAGGTCGGAACGGATGCAGTGGCGACAGCCGATATCACTGTCGCACTCAAAGCTGCATTTGCAAAGCTTACCATGCAACTCCCGAAAGACAGCTGATTGCAACATTTGTGCTGCAAGTATTGCATCACTTTCTCGTGCTTCGATCGTATCTTTGCGAGTACGATCGTCCTTGGTGATGCGAACTGGATTGAAAGTTCGTTGCTTGGCTTGGCACGGATATAAATTACAGTTTTGCTCAATGGGAACTTCGAAGATTTCATCGTTGTCCCCAAATGAAACAGTGCGATTGGGTGTAACTGGCATGGCAAAATGCTGGTTGAAACAATGCGGAGAGGCGATGCCTTCCGGCACGCGATGAGTGCTGGTCGAAGGGTTGACGACTGCGACCATCATCAGAGCGCGCATCAGGCAAACTGCAGCTGAGCCAGAGGAAGATGGTTTTCCCCCTTTGTCCTTGAGACTCTGAGAGCCTCTCGAGGAGTTGGAACCTCGACTTGACGATCTGGAGCGATCGCCCTTCTTCTTCTTATTCCTCTTCTTCTTTTTCTGGCTCTTTCCACGCTTGTCATCTTTGGTAGATGCAGCTGCAGGCTTTGGTGGGTGTTGGAAAGCACAGTCATTACCTCGTTGACACTTACCTGCCTTCCAAAACTTGCACACTTGGTTCCTAGATCCAGGAGACAAAGATCGACCATCGCCCCTAGACTTGGACCTAGATTTGCCTTTCTTACCTCCGCCTTTTCCTTTGTCTGCCTTTTCATGTCGGTATCGGCAATCCTTTCCCCTGGTACACTTGCCAGCCTGAAAGTCATAGCAAATGCCAGTGGGCTTCCCCGTGGATGTCGGCCTCGTGGGTGCTGGCGTTGCATCTCTTTTGCCTGAAACGGACTTCTTGGTAGCCTGTCTCATCTTCTCCAGACGTCTCCTCTCAAGGTAGTCCCTCGCAGCTTTCATGAGAAAGTCATAAGAGCGGTTGGGTTCCCCCTCCGGTGTGCGATCATACACAGCCAGATCATGAGAGAGAGGCTTGAAGTTCTTGATGGCGTTGTGAAAGTAGGCTTGCTTCCACATCATGTCAGGCTCGGAAGTCATTCCAGCGATCACAGCGTCCCATCGGGTGATGAAACCTCTGAGATCATCATTGACTAAGGTAACAGCCATGAGGTCCTCAATGTCATACACTGCACCATGCTTCCTACTTGTACTGAAGTGTTTGTGAATCATGAGCAATGCTTGACGTCCCCTAGCTGGTGTCCCTGACTTGGCTTGTTCTTCTTTAAAGATGTCAAGCTGCCGTGCAAAGTCCCCTTCGCAGATGTTGGTGAGCGAAGACATGAGCTTTGCGTCCAGGGTCACGAATTTACCTGAGTCCTTCAAAGCATCGACAGACTGATCTGTCCTGAACACTTCCTCCACCCATTGAAAGGCTAGGTCGGGTTTAGCAGAAGCAGCAATTATGGCATCCCTCACTCGGATTCTCCAATTCCTATAATTTTCGGGTTGAGGGAACTTAGGTACAAGGATCCTATCAGACTCTTTGGCCTTAGTATCACTAGTCCTAGAACGCTCCAAGGCCCTTTTGACCTTTCGTGCAAAGGAACTCTCAGAATCCGGGGACGTCGATGATGAAGGTGAGGATGAAGGATCTCTTCGACGTCGTCGTCGCGAGCGGCCACGACTAGTCTTGCGGTCCTTCTTCTTGTCTTTCTTGTCTCTGCGACCTCTCTTGTCGTCAGATTCATCATCACCATCGTCATCTCCTGGAGGTCCACCGCCGGGTAATCCCGGTGGCTTCAAAGGTTCTGCCTGAAAATGCTCGTCGTCAGCATCTGATGAATGCTGAGGCTTCTTGCTTCCCGAAGCTAACTCTACAATGGTTGGACCTTTGGGCTTCGAGGATTGTGGAATGGGTTTCCCTGAACCGTAGTGAATCATAAGTCCAGGAGTTCCCTCCAGAGGTTGAGACTTTAAATTCCGGATGAGCTCTCTCTGCTCCTTCCGACGCTTCTCAATCTCCGCCTCGAAGTCCTTCTTCTGAGATTCGGCCAGCTTATGCATGTTCAAAGCGTGTTGATTCATTGCATCAATCTGAGTGCGGTACTCTGCAAGTTCTGAACGTGCTGCCTGCAGATCAGCATTGGACTTCTCCGCAGACGATGTCAAAACACCTGCATTGTTGACCACGTGAGTCAATTCGGCACTCAGTTCCCTGATGCGATGATCCTGCGCTGTGACCTGCAGTTGAGCAGATTTATGCTCACTCATCGCCTGGGCGGCCTGCTCGTTCAACAAAAGGTTTCTCCTGGAAATTTCTTCGGCTGCTTGTTGTTCGACGCTTGCGAGTTGATCTCGAGCTTCACTCACAAGCTCCATACGTTGACGCTCCATGACCTCAGAGTGACGTACATTCGCCTCACTCTGCAATGCCTGCTGTTGAGCAGCCATGAGCTGGTTCGCCAGGTTTGGATCAATGCCTTGTTGTACCACTGCCACGTGGGCGGTACGCTGATCAACACTGTTAAAGTTGATGGTGTTGAGTTGGCTGATGTCAATGTTTGAATCCACAACACCTGGCATGTTCCTGCGTGGATCTTGACGGCATGGGTCAAACTCTTCATCCAGATAACTCATGTCCCCTTCTGTTGTTGTAGCCGCGCCTGAATGGATTACCACTTCCTCCGGTTGTGTAGTTGTCGCCAAAGCCAATGCAGCCGAGGCGTTCCCGCCCGGGGCAGGAAGCGCAGGGGGAGTGGACATTGCGAAAACTACGGAGAAAGAACGACAAGAGTGAAACAAAAGGAAACCAGAGATCGCTTGGCGATACGGCTGATAACCTGTAGAAACAGATAAACAACCACTATGGGCCACAAACCAGATACACAGTTACGCGCTATTTTACTTGAGCCATTGCCACACAGTAAGGTGAGAATCTATAGTGTACATACTAGACTACTGTGCAACAACAATATTGATATATACTATGTAATATACAATATAGAACACGTGGCATAGAATTTCTGTTATGTGTACAATGTATAACATAAACTTTGATATGTGATTTATGCTGATTTGCTAAAAGTGTTCACCATGCTCACGTCCTTTCATAATCTTTCATAATTCAAATTGTTTCAAATGTTGCTGACCCTTTCAGCCAGGGCTCGCCAAACTGTGGCTTGGAAATGCGAGCAGCACCTTACCAGCTGTGGAAGAATCCAGCTGCCAAGGCTTGGCATGTGCAATGCATGTGCACCTTATCAGCTTTATCATCGTATGTGTTCTACATATGCAGAAAAACCCTGCTGTTCTAAGATTTCTAAGTTCAAGTCAATTTCAGCGCGACAAATGCCAGTGCATGTGGCCAGTACTTTAGTCGCCAGTACTTTAGATACTTTGGGCATTGCATTTATGAAACGCCATGTTCTTGCATCTTTTGAACAATGTCCTTTGCTGTGATTGCAAACGGATCATGTGAACTAGGCATAGCATAACTAGGCTATGAAAACAACCCTCAGCAAATCACTTCAAATGGCCGATTTCGATCACGGCAGTGTATTTGTGAAGATTAAGGTTCAGAGCTTGGCTTGTGAATTCAGCAAGCTGCTTTGCAATCATAGAAAGATGCTGAAAGGGCTAACACCTTTTGTCATTCTGTCTCCAGGGGCTGGCACGAGTAAAGGACACCTCACTGCCTCAGAAGTGAACGCTGCTTTCAGACCGGAAATGCCCCGGCTGCCTTTATCTGCCTTTCAACATCTTTGAACCCTTTTGAACCTGGATACTGATTATACTAGTATAATTAGATCCAAAAGGCACAAAGGCACACCATGGATTTGAAAAAGAATGAGGCAAGAACCCTGCAAGGCAAGCATTTGGTTATGGCAAGCATGGCTGGTGCCATGCGACTACTGGAGCCAAGGTATGGATACAAAACAGTCACAAACGCCGCAACTTTCAGCTGACGATCGATCCGTGCAAACGAAGGCATAGTGTTTGAGTGAAAATTGTGAATCATTTCACGCTGCCTTTGATATGTTCTCAATCCCAATGTCCCGACGGCGTGTAGGACAACAATCTGGACACAAGTGTTGCTTTGACGAGTCATTTTTTGATGCCTGCCAAACTGTCCCAACAGGGGGCTGCTCAACTACCTAGATGGTAGCAGCGCGCAGGCCTAGGCAAACCAGGGTTGAGGGGCACAGAAGAAACAGATGAAACAGTGAGAAGAAATTCACTTGTCGAAAAGATTGGGGTCAAAGGTGCACATGCCAGCCTGGATCCTAAAGTAAAGGTTCAAGAGTTCAATAGCAAGACTGAAATTTGATTTGGTCTGGCGTGCAAAATTGTGCGAAAGACAGAAAACGACGAGGCATATAGATTTAGTAAATGCTTTACTATGATTTACTATGATTTACATATGATTCACATATAGATTTATTAGGATTCACATATAGATTTACTGATATGTGGCGACGAATTAGTCTTGACCTGGCAGTGCAAGCCGAGTCATTTTCTCAGCTATCGCTCGCTTCTCCGCCATGGTCTGAAGTGCAATGGCCTCCTTCGAATGCGAATTGCCATGGTCACCCTCCGGCTCAAGCTCTCAAACTCAATATGTAGAGGTACTGTACTATCAAAATCGAAAAAATGAAGCACATTGAAAGAACATTGAAACAATATTGACACATGACATAACATGTTGTGAAGACAACAATGGAAACCATGAGAAAACAGAGTCAATCTATGCGTAGCTATTTACCTTTAGCACTTTTTCGGGGTTGAATGGTTGCCAGGATGAAAACTGGTCCTTAGATGTTGGCGATCAGACACATTAGTTGCTGCGGTTCTCAACTTTACAGTCTCCTCCAGAAACCTTGTGACAACTGTACGTCGGAGGCCTTGTGCAACTTGTCATCACTCTGACAGATGGGTTCATGATGGTTCATGTGGCTTCATTTATGTTCGATTCATTGGACGTGAAATAAATATGTAAGACATTCACAAGGCAAGAATTGTCATGCCATTCCCAGCATTCACAACCGAGGTCGCCGCAGAGAAGCGGCGCAAGTGCCATGTTCGAGCTCGGGGAATGTCAATCTGGCGTTCCTGCTTCCAGCAATCAGTTTTCAAAGTTTTCAAGAGGTTTAAAGTGCTTTCTGCAGGATTGCAAGGCAGAAAAGGATAAGAGTGATAAGAGATGGAAAAAAGGTCTAAACATGTCCTAAACATTTAAGCTCTGAGCTTCTCCGCCTTCTGCGTTTTGTACGCGTCAAGAGCCAGGAGCAGAAGTTGCGCTTCGCGCAGGGACATCTGCAGGCGGCCCTTGGCCTTAAACAGTGAAACTTGTAGGCGCATGAAGATTATGCAGGCATGACAATCATGACACCCGCAAGATAACCAGTATTAACAGTGATAACCTCGGCCTCAAGGCTGTCAGGCCAGGTGTTTTGGTACTTGTGGATGGCGTTCACCACCAGTTCCCGGTCGATGGGATCTTCCATGCTGAGCCATCTGGCACCCAGGTGGAAATGCCCTTGACTGATCACCTGACAGGGCTGGAGCTAGACTCAGCTGCAGACCTTGACATAATATGAAGGTCATAGAGTCACGATGAGTCATAGATATATGATATATTCCATAGATTGCGGCGCGATGATGGGTAAGGAAATCTGCAAAACACGTGGGACTCAGTGTTTGGAGATGTGAAGTCACGAGAGCTGAAACGTGTCCTTCAATTGGCACCTGTATGGAGTCTATTCGTAGCTCACATGTTAATGTTTTATTTACGCTCCTTCGTACATTCTTTGTACCATAATAGGAGCCTTGGATTTGTAGCTTGCCAAAGCTTCCGCGACTGGCTTTCCTTCAGAATCCAATTTGTCAGCATCCAGAGCATTCAAGAGGTCCTGGAGGGAGGGCCTTAGTGAGCGACATGAACATGAAGAGCAACTGAATACAGCCAACCTGAGCAAAGCTAACCGCGGTAAGCAATAAGCTAATGACTATGACAATCTATGACCAACAAGCATGACCAGAATTCATGTGTCCCAAATCATTGAAGAGCATAAATAAGCAGGGATACTAAACAGGCCGTCTCTGATGTCTCTCAGCAATTAAGTACTCCACCCTGCTTCATGTTCTTGTTGAGGCTCTTGAGGCTCTTGAGGCTCCGATGGAGCAGCTTGCACTTCTGACGCGGAGTTGGACCAAAGGAGTCGTTGAACAAAGCTTGGCCGGACACGAGTTACGATCAGTTTGGTACCATATTCATCATCGTTGTATACATGACCTCAGTTCAAGGCTTCGCACGGCTTCGCCTTCCTCCCGGACTCCAAAGCTCACATCAACATCATCAACAAGATCATCTAAGATCTCTATAATAGGTATGTATATGTATATGCAAGGTATATTCAATATCTATAATTAATTCCAATAGTTGTTGGATATATCATGACATATCACAATATATTACAAATAAAAGGTTTTGCAGCCGATAGGGGGCCTTTGGAATTTGATTCTAGGGTCCTTGGTGATTTAGTTCTACCTCTGATGGTGTGATATATGCTTTCCATTGTTTATTCACGTCGCTTCGCGACGGCAACCGCCCGCACCGCATCGTTGGGCAGCCGCTCATAACTGCCAATGATGTCGGCCATTGAGACCAAAAACATCCGAAAGTACTGATTGTCGGAAAAAAAAATGCGAAGAATTTGATAGCCATGTATAGCGGACCAACGCAGTTCAAAAAATAATGAAAAACATGAAAAAACGGCGAAATTGCTGTTATTTACAGTGTTTTTGCGCGGTGAGAAGCAGAAACCACTGCAAATACTATGGTTTTTGAGGGTCAGGTGGCCAAAAACACTGTAATTTACAGTGTTTTTTTAACCAACGTCAAAAAACACTGGTATTTACGATGTTTTCATTCACACCGTAACATAGAACAGCGTAATTTACGAGGTTTTTGGAAGTTTTGAAGCTAGCCGTCAAGCATGCAGAAAACAGAAAAACACTGTAAAAACCAGTGTATCTGCTATCACAAAACGACGAAAATCAGTCCGAAAACGGGTCCAAAAACTCAAAAATCCGCCTCCGGGCCAGGCCACCTGCGGAACCGCAAAAAAAGATGTTGCAAACCAAAAAATTGAGGTCAAAAAGTTGAAAAACACAGGGTTTTTTCACTTTTCGCTTGCCGATTTTGGACGGGCGCGTTCACGAACAGGTGTCTTCCGTACTGTTTTTTACAGTGTTTTTTGAAGGCGAGCGTCACGACCTATCAAAAACAGGAGGTTTTGGCCGAAAAATGGTGCCCCCCCCCCAGGTAAACCTGTAACCTTTTACGAGTGCCATCCGGAAGATCACGCCCCAGCACCTTCGGTGCGGGCGGATTTCTTTATCTATCTTACCTATTAAGGTAGGTGGCCTGGGTGTATACTAGTGAAAATGATCCCAAAGGAAAGATCGTCTTGGGTTAGTGTCCCTTCTTGGCATGATTACCGAATGGCGGATGGCGGATAAGAATTAACAATGGCGGATGGCGGAAAGCATATATCACACAATCAGAGGTAGAACTAAATCACCAAGGACCCTAGAATCAAATTCCAAAGACCCCCTATCGGCTGCAAAACCTTATAAGTCTATTATAATTTATAATCTTATATAATTCCACTAGTCCACTCCGAAGAGTCCGAGGAGCAAGTAGGTTCAGTGGCATAGCAGGCATCAAACAGGAGATCGCAATACCTGCATCAAGCATATATTCAAGCATCAAGCCACAAAAGAATATCACCAGGACCGTGGTACGAGTACTAGTAATATGGCACCGAAACTCTGAGACTGAGCCCAGCATTTTTCACCAAATGCATCTTAGCAATCTGTTTTACGCGATCATTTGAATCCTTTGAGCAAATTATAAGCAACCGATAGCAAGCGCACATGCTGCGGCATATTTATGTGTCTTTAGAGAAAAGAGGGCACTTGGCCATGATGTGGTCCTCGAAGCCGCGACGAGTTAGGCAGAAGTCTCGCTTCCAGTGCATTTGCTCTCGATCCTCTCATGGTACAGCTGATGCCAACGGCACATGCGAAATAGTGTCGGGTTGCCATGGTCACCCTCAAGACGGCTAACAACTGTGGACATCAGGATGTCAACTGACGTCAACTGACGTCAACTAAAAGTGTCCTCGCGACTTAGCAGCCGAATTGTAGAGACGTGCTTGAAGCCCTGCGAAGATCCAACGAGATGATTCGTATCTTCCCGGGCCAGAAAGGCGCTGGTTGCTGCTTGAATCACTTTGGCAGCAATGCGGCCACTTACCATGTTTCTCTCCTGGGTCTCGACTCGCGCCCATATCTTTTTCGGATCTTTTTTTGGACTACACAGGGCTACACACGTCAAACATCTAGTGATACATCTAGTGAATTCTAGTGATACGTCTAGTGATACATCCAGTTTTAGCAGCTTCGTGGCCAGCTGGACTTTGCGCCAGTGAAATCAAAACAATCAAAACACTACTCAAACTTACTCTCAAATTTTCAGTTGTTTCAAGCTCGTGCCGATTCATTAACTGCTTTGGTTTGCATCTTTTGATATCTTCCGGTCCTTGGCTTGTTCTTTCAAGTATTCAGCTGCTTCCCGGACGATATCTCGAGGATCTGATACTGACCAAGCACGAGGGCATGGATCACCTGGAAGCTGGTCACTCCGGTCATTCCAATGATGAACATCGATGAACTGTGAGAAGAAGCTTGCAGTGATTGTAACATATTGTAACATATTGTAACTTTCTCCCCACTTTGGCAAGAGACTCCGTGCGAACCATCATAAAATTATGAAACCCAGCGCCTCCGTTGATGAAATTCACCGCACGCTCCTTAGCAAATGCCTCAAAGCTGGCGAACTTGAACCTGAGTTCCCAAAAGATTGTATTTAAAAGACAGTGCCAACAGTAAATCTGCAATACTTCTGCAATGATCCATTTAGTTTAGACATTAGAAATCTCAAACCTTCGCCAGAAGCCGCAGCACATCAGAGCACTTTACCACAAACTCTAGCTGTAGACTCTAGCCAAACTACAGGAAGTATGCAAAATGGTTAGCCGCGGTTAGCCTTCGTATCGCCTTGTGGGGCATCTGGTTTGGACCAATTGCATCCATATACAAAGAGCCAACATGTGAAATTAGCCAACTATCTCCAAGCAGGGCGTCGATGCTGTTCCAAGTCAGCCAAGGTTCTCGTCACTCGGGGAGTCAGCTCCGAAGCACATTGGAGATCCAAAGGTCACACAGCGGATTGATCGCAGCAATTTTCGCGCATCACCACGCAAGCGGCAACGCTCCTCAGTCAGAAAGGTGAGCTACAGCACAGAGTTACACTGAGAATCACAGAGATTTGTTGACTGTTTGTTGACTCTTTTCATCTCTTTCCTCTTGGATGCTCTTGGCACTCTCTTGGCTGGTTACCTAGAAGTTCCTTTGTTTAAGGATGTTTGAGATTGTTTGAGGCATAGCTTCCGGCAGCAAATTCTGCAGGTCTTGGAACGCAAAGTACATTCCAGCCATTGCATACATGCCACCCAGTGAGTGGCCAGCAAGAACAAAGTTGCGAACTCCGTCTTTGTAAGCCTCGTCTAGTCGCCGAGCAAAATCCGAGTCAGGCTTCACCTTCATGAACAAGAGGTTCCTCATAATTCCAGCAGCACCCTTATGCATGAAGTGGTTCCCATCTCCAATGACTTCGTAGTCATGCTCCATGTTCCAGTTCACCACGTCCAACAAGTACGAAGTTCCCTTGAAAACTACGAAGAGTGTCTTGTGATCACCAGGAAGCTCCGCTGTGACCAAAGCCACCCGGACACTTCCGGTCTGAAGCTCTTCACTGACACATCCAGCTGACAAAGAAACACCAGGAAGTTCAGGAATGGGCTCTGAGATGCCATCTGTACAATACACCTTGCTGCTCAGGCTGCTACTAAGGACTCTGCGGACTCCCTGTGACATGCCGAAGAAGGTTCAAAATGTCTTTGTGATGGTTCAAGATTCAAAAAGTCCCATATAGTCCCATATAGTCCCATCAACACTGCTTGATTCGTGCAGGTGCCACACAATCATCTAATCCGCACCAGGACACCCACTTGCTAAGGCGTGCAGCCACCAGCTCCTCCAAGCGACAAGGGTCTATCGGCAGCTTGCCTCAAATATGCACTGCTGCCAAGTGGATCAAGTTATGATCAAGTTTTGACATGTGCAACACAAAAATCATCCTACACCTTGCATCACCTGACGTCACCTTACGTTTCATATGTCATTTCCTGCCTGCCTCTCACACCTTGTCGAACTAAAGCTGATGCTCTTCGATCCATGGAACGCTCAAGAAGTCTATACCTTGAGGTCAAGTAGCTTTGCGGCTCACTTGGCGGCGCTTCGACGCGTGCTTTTGACTGACTCTCATCTAATTCCTGCAGCAATGTTTGCCATATTTGACTCCCCAAAGAAGACCAATCAAGTGCATTCAAGGCATTCGGCATTGAGTCCTTGTGCAGGTCGCGGAGCAAATTCATCATAGCCTGCGGCGCCCCGTGAAAGACAAGAATTGCAGCAGTGTACTGCAGGCAACTGCAGTATTGTCATCGCGGCTGTTCAAAAATGAATCATCAGCGATTCCAAGATGCACTTCTCACCCGGTCACTATCGAGGCTCTTTGAGCGCATGCCTTTTTCAACAGCAAGGTGGTCGCCTGTACAAAGCCTGCTGCGAATAGTGCTAAGCAGAAACAGTTAAACATGTTCACTTCTCTATGTCCACCATCCATTCACTCCCAGCTCTGCATCTGTCTCTAACAGGTGGGCCAAGCAACGTGTGATGTTTTCAACATCATGCATGCCCAAATGGTGAAATCCATGCCGAGGGTTGCCATCTTTATCCAGCAATCGAAGCCTGGCCAGCCTCATTCAATCGTCACTCCAGTCGGTTCAACGGTCCAATGACATCCAATGACACTAGTGACCTGAACCATCCTTTATTTTTAAAACATGTTGGGAAAGCAGTAGCACAGTCACACCAGGAGAATATCCACACATCGACAAAACAACAGTATCACTTGAGCCAAGATTCATGCTCTTCATGCCCCGGAATTCACCACCATAGTGGTCATGATAGCTTCGCTTAATGTTGATCCAGCGAGAAAAAGCCCATGGAGTAGGCACATCCCAAATCTTGCACTGTGTCTTCACATGTTTGCAGTCCCAGTCCCCGCAAGTCACGAAGACCATGTCTGAGCTGTCCGTGCCCATTTCTCGCAAGCCTTTCCCCACCATCTTTTTCAGCCAAGAGTTGAACTCTTCCAGCACTGCAGGAAACGGCTCTGCTGGCGTGTCAGTGAGTGGACAACCTTTGAAGAGGTCTTTCGGACTGACGAACTTTTGGAAACGTCCAATCTCACAACCAGCAACTGCATCAAAGAGAAGGACTGGGAACTCAATGATTTCATACTTGCCCTCCAAGTCAAACACCAGGAAATACCGTATCTTTGGCACTTGATGCGCTTTATGTGCCGGTGTCACTGTCGGAACATCAGCCTCTGACTCTGGTCGGTAACGTCGGCTCCAACGGTGTGCCTTCTCGGCAGGAGCTTCAGTATCGACTCCGGTGCTTCCGGTGCTCCATTCAAAGCCCAGATCAGAAATGTTGGTTGCACATGTTGCATTGGATGCAGTCGCTGGATCTTTCCCCTTGACCGCCTTGATCTGAATCTTGTGTGAAAAGACCCGGGTGAACAAATCACGCGCCTGGCCCTCACCCAGAATTTTGGCGGCAGCTGATTGGAGCTCCTTTCTGGCACTCGGATCTCCCGGATTCAGCCACTCATGTCTGATGGCCATGGCATAAGGCACTGAATGCTGTGTCAAGCAAGAGTCTCCATGGTTGCAGTAGCCAGCCATAAAGTATCCACAAGGGCCAGAGGGGTCCACAACAGGAGCTGCCCGAGCCAGGTCCTGGGAATTTCCCTTGCTGCCTTTGCTACCTTTGCCCTTTCCTTTGGGATTTGCCCCTTCTCGGCCTTCTCCTTTCTGGCTATTTCTCGGCTCAAAGGGAATCCTCCGACGAACGTGCCTGTTCTTGATTTCCAACCATTCTGAGGCCTGAACTGCCTCCAACACTTCATCTTCACTGATGTTGAATGCTTTGATTTTGTTGCATTGCATGATGGGCGCCAAACTGACCCAGCCAGCAGAATCACGAGCAATAAGGTCGCAAAAGAATTTGTCGCGATGCAAGTTCTCATCTGAAAAATAATACTCTACTTGCGCACAAACCAGCTGTCCGGTCTGGCTCGCACTGTTAGAGGCTTTCTTTTCCTGTCCCGCCATGCTGAGAGCACAAACAAATGTGGACTTGGTGGAACTTGAGCCGAACACCAAGCCCGTCCAAGATTAAAATGTCGAAGTCAACCAAACACGCCAAATCAAACGATCGTTGTGATATGTTACGGCTGATCAACCATGTTTGTGGCATACAGGCATGCTGTTTCATTGATTGCCAACCCCAGGCGTTCAGTTGCATGACTGAAGAACAAGTGAGCTGCCCTCAAAATCATTTGTTTACGCAAGATCTTTCGGTAATCGCTTTTTTTTGGGGCCCTATCGCTCTACAGTGTTTTGTTCAAATCAACGCTAAATAATTCAAAGTGCGGCGGAATTGCTTTTCATCACAGAGTTCCAAAATCATCTTCATCAAACACTTCCAAAATCAGTTGCGCTTCGGTTTAGTAAGAATCTTTCATGTCCTTTTCTTGCTGCTTGTCTGGTATTTGGAAAAAGATGCCGATGGGATCAAATAAGTCCATCCTCGTCCGGGGTCCCTTTTTCAACAAAAGGCTATCGCCAGGTTCTCGCTAAGGTTGTCGCTAATTTTTGAGCACCTTGATTGTCAAGAAAGGAACAGAATTAAGAACGTGGAAAAAAAAGGAAGATTGAAAAATAAAAGGAAAAAAGGAAGGAAGGAAGGAAGGAAGGAACGAAGGAACGAAGGAACGAAGGAACGAAGGAACGAAGGAACGAAGGAACAAGAAAAGAAAACGAAGGAAGAAGAAAGGACAAATTGTCAAAAAGGAAATGAAAGAAATGCAGATTTGATCTATATCAAATGTGATGTAATTCCGAATTGATTCAATTGCATTTGGTTTTTAAAGAGGAAACAAAGGAACAAGGAAGGAAAGAAAAAGAAAAGGAAGCACAGGAAAAAGAAAATCGAATTGAATCAAAGCACATAAACAGAATTCATAATTCGACGTAAACATTGTTCGATTCAATTCAGAATTCAATTGCATTTAGTCTAGTGTAATTCTACTGCTTTGGGACTTGGGGGAAAAACAAACTGCCTTCAGAAAGCAACGGTTCAATCACCTTGGACAACAAATGATACTGTATGGTAACTGCAAGAACCACGGGCACTGCAGGTTGAATTTTCTTCATCAATTTTGCCCATTGCATGAAGGTACACGACAATAGTTGCTTGGTTTGCACATGTTTACACCAAATTTAAATACATTTAATAATTAATATATTTGATGCATTTTGATGCCCTCTCACATATTAATATGGTTGCAAGATGGTTGCAAGTTATCACTTCTTGGGGGGCCCTATCACTTTACATTGGTTTGGTGCACTTTCTCAGCACAATTGGGCCCCTCCTTATTAAAGTAGTCTACGCTTATTCCAACCGTATTTCAAATCACTTCGAAGCAAAGAGCTTTCAGCATGCGTCACACTGTAATCACACCCAACCTCGTCATCGCACAGAATCTCTGACTCCCCATGCTCTGGAAGAGTTTCATCCAGGCCGAGGCTGAAGGTGGAAGTAAAGGTTGCCCCTGTCTCGGACACGCCACAGATTCCTGGACCAATTTCATCCAATTTCATGCCGGCACTTCCAACAACCATTCGGCTAGGCACGCTCGCTCGATGAGCAACGCACAAATATGTTTGTTCACCACATTGAACATCGAGTGTCAGGGGCTGACTGAAGGACATCAAAGCCCCAACCCCCAGCCTTGAGCAAGCCGCGTCTCTTCAGTCTGCACCTGACACGATGGAGTTGGTCAATTTTATTCAATTCGAACAATTTTTCTGGTGGTTGTCAACTAGAAGATCTAGAATAAATATTCCCTCCCTCCCTCCCTCCCTCGCTCTCTCTCTCTCTCTCTCCCTCCCTCGCCCTCTCCAAGAGTTCAGCCAAAAGACTGAAGGCGAGAACTTATTAGAAGATATTAGAAGTAGTATGAAGTAGTTATCCACAAATATCGACAAGCAACTTATAGCAAGTTTAAGAGAGCAAGATTGCGTCGTGTACCTCTGTGGAGACCAAGGAGGCATGCGATAGCTTGGATGTGGTCTCATTGGAGCCTGAAATGTGACGCCATAGGTGGCCGGTTGAAAGCTGCAAGTAGTTCTCAGCTCAAAACGCAAAACACCGATGCACAAAAATGCCAAAAAATGCAAAAAGAGGATGAGGCAGTGGCTGGCCCAAAGCTTTGCGCAAGCGTTCAGGACTTGCAAATGAACAGCATCCTTGACCAAGAGCCTTATGTTTGTGTCCAGGTGTCCAGAATTTCTTCATGTCAGAAGTCCCAAGGCGATGTTTGACAACAAATCGCAACGAAGGCAAACAATGCCACTGAGTGGCTGCAAGCGAAGCCCATCGATTTGTTTCTGCAGGCTCTCTACCGTGGGATCCGGCATCTCATCGCTCAAGAGATTGCATCACTTCGTCTAAAGTTGAGCCCATTGGAAAGTTGGTTCTGTCCGATAATGGCTTTGTTGTGGTCATGCTGGAAAGTACAGTAAGTTTCAAATTCAGTAAATCAATGTAAAGGATGTAAGATGATGTAAGCCATGAGTCTACGCTTTGTCAAGAGCTAGGTCATGCTGCAAAGTTGTTGAAATGTTTCGCATTGATTTGGCGCAAACCGTCCTCAATCCACAAAGCAGCTATGGGAAAATGGCTGCAGGTGCGTTACAAGTTTGACACTGAGAACCAACATGGTAATTCATGGTAACTCGTGAGATTCCAACTCTTCAAGTCCTTGAATGTAAGTTACATTCACTTCGAAATGGCCAAACCTCTGGGATTCTTACCGCAAGACCTGCAAGAGCCGTGGCACCTGCAATAGAAACGAAATAATTTCAGGCACACCAGCCAAATTGATGCAGTTGAAACTGTTTCGTCACTTCTAGAAGCCGTAGCAAACGCAGCTGTTGGAGTCTGCAAACGTTAAGAATTACACGTGAAGCTGTACTGCCATGGCAACATATTATGGGAACCAGCGCCTCAACCTAAAACAATGTACACCCACGCCATCTGGGCAGCTGTGCCTTCTGTTGCAACATAAAAAATAGATGATATATAATATATATTAATCAAAGGAAGTTTAGGGGGAGAAACTTCCGTGTTACGGACTTTTAGAATGTCAGGGAAAGAGTTAGTCAAAGAAAGAGTTAGTGAGAGAAAGAGTTAGTTAGAGAAAGAGTTCATCAGGGAAAGAGTTAGTCAAAGAAAGAGTTAGTGAGAGAAAGAGTTCATCAGGGAAAGAGTTAGTCAAAGAAAGAGTTAGTGAGAGAAAGAGTTAGTGAGAGAAAGAGTTATTTAGAGAAAGAGTTCATCAGGGAAAGAGTTAGTCAAAGAAAGAGTTAGTGAGAGAAAGAGTTAGTGAGAGAAAGAGTTAGTTAGAGAAAGAGTTCATCAGGGAAAGAGTTAGTGAGAGAAAGAGTTAGTTAGAGAAAGAGTTCAGGGAAAGAGTTAGTCAAAGAAAGAGTTAGTGAGGGAAAGAGTTAGTTAGGGACAGAGTTAATTGTAACTTTTAGAATGTCAGGGAAAGAGTTAGTCAAAGAAAGAGTTAGAATGGCATTGCAAGTGGTGCTGGTGGAGGAGTTGCCGATGGAGTTTTGGAGGAAGTCTCGCACGAAATGCGTCTTTGAGAGATAGCAGATGCACGAAACCCTATGTTTTTCCATACAAAGTCCGTCCCCGAACCTCGATGATCTACCTCTGCGGTGCGACGGGTGCGAGACGGTCTCGTGTGTGGTCGGATCATCCTCGGATCATGGTCGGATCGGTCTCGGATCGATTCCGCATTGTAAATGGGGTTTCAACTGTGTTTCGTCTATGTGCGGTCGACAGAATTCCATTGTGAATTGCAACTGTAGGATCGTTCCCGCATTGTAAATGGGGTTGCAAGTGGTGCTGGTGGATGAGTTGCCGATGGAATTCCATTGTGATTTGCAACTTTAGGATCGTTCCCTCACTGTAAATGGGATTGCAAGTGGTGCTGGTGGATGAGTTGCCGATGGAATTCCATTGTGATTTGCAAGTCTAGGATCGTTCCCTCCCTGTAAATGGTTGCGTCAAGGTTCCTTCGTGCTGTGGCTGCATTGGTAATACTATTGTCTTTTGCAGCTGGACTTCGTAAATCGTATTGGAGTGGCTGCATGAAGGCTGCCACAGCGATTTGTTGGCAGATTTTCTTCATTTTGGCGCTAGTGAATTTCCTTCTAAAAATTCTTTTAAAAAGTGCTTCAAAATCGTCTTTTTTTCGCTCTGGCGTCGAGATCTGGTTTTGGAGCTACAATTTCCGACGCCGTTGTGCGTAGTTCTATTGTGTTTTGCAACTCAGTCTCTGCAGATCGCATTGTAATGGCTGCGTCAAGGTTGCTTCGTGCTGTGGCTGCATTCGTAATACTATTGTCTTTTGCAGCTGGACTTCGTAAATCGTATTGGAGTGGCTGCATGAAGGCTGCGACATGGATTTGTTAGCAGATTTTCTCCATTTTGGCGCTAGTGATTTTTCTTCTAAAAATCCTTTTAAAAAGTGCTTCAAAATCGTCTTTTTTTCGCTCTGGCGTCGAGATCCGGTTTTGGAGCTACAATTTCCGACGCCGTTGCGCGTAGTTCTATTGTGTTTTGCAACTCAGTCTCTGCAGATCGCATAGTAATGGCTGCGTCAAGGTTGCTTCTTGCCACGGCTGCATGCGTAATACTATTGTCTTTTGCAGCTGGACTTCGTAAATCGTATTGGAGTGGCTGCATGAAGGCTGCGACATTGATTTGTCAGCAGATTTTCTCCATTTTGGCGCCAGCGATTTTCTTTTTAAAAATTCTTTTGAAAAGTGTTTCAAAATCGTCTTTTTTTCGCTCTGGCGTCGAGATCCGGTTTTGGAGCTACAATTTCCGACGCCGTTGCGGGTAGTTCTATTGTGTTTTGCAACTCAGTCTCTGCAGATCGCATTGTAATGGCTGCGTCAAGGTTGCTTGGTGCCGCGGCTGCATGCGCAATACTATTGTCTTTTGCAACTGGACTTCGTAAATCGTATTGGAGTAGGTGCATCAAGGGTTCGACAATGCTTAGTAGTAGTGCTGGGAATTGATTAATGAAAGCTTAATAGATGACATATGAGAAGGGACGAAATGAGAAGAGATGAGCTGGGATAAGGTGAGAAGAGCTCAGATGAGATGAACTGTGGAGTGTGAAGAGTGTAGTGTGAAATGTGGGGCGTGAAGAGCGCAGTGTGAAGTGTGAAGTGTGAAGTTTGGAGTGTGAAGGAAGCAGTGAGAAGTGAGAAGTGTGAAGTGTGGACTGTGAAGTGTGGAGTGTGAAGTTTGGAGTGCAAAGAGTGCAGTGTGAAGTGTGGAGTGTGAAGAGTGCAGTGTGAAGTGTACAGTGTGAAGGAAGCAGTGGGAAGTGAGAAGTGTGAAGTGTGGAGTGTGAAGTTTAAGGTTGGAGTGCGAAGAGTGAGTGTGAAGTGTGAAGTGTGAGGTTTGGAGTGTGAAGGCAGCAGTGAGAAGTGAGAAGTGTGAAGTGTGGACTGTGAAGTGTGGAGTGTGAAGTGCGAAGTGAGAAGTGTGAAGTTTGGAGTGTGAAGGAAGCAGTGAGAAGTGTGAAGTGCGAAGTGAGAAGTGTGAAGTGTGAAGTTTGGAGTGTGAAGTTTGGAGTGGGAAGGAAGCAGTGAGAAGTGAGAAGTGTGAAGTGTGGACTGTGAAGTGTGGAGTGTGAAGTGCGAAGTGAGAAGTCTGAAGTTTGGAGTGTGAAGGAAGCAGTGAGAAGTGAGAAGTGTGAAGTGAGAAGTGTGAAGTGTGGACTGTGAAGTGTGGAGTGCGAAGAGCGCAGTGTGAAGTGTGAAGTGTGAAGTGTGAGGTTTGGAGTGTGAAGGAAGCAGTGAGAAGTGTGAAGTGTGGACTGTGAAGTGTGAAGTGTGAGTGAAGTGTGGAGTGTGAAGTGCGAAGTGTGAAGTTTGGAGTGTGAAGGAAGCAGTGAGAAGTGAGAAGTTTGGAGTGTGAAGGAAGCAGTGAGAAGTGAGAAGTGTGAAGTGAGAAGTGCGAAGTGAGAAGTGTGAAGTGTGAAGTGTGAAGTTTGGAGTGTGAAGGAAGCAGTGAGAAGTGAGAAGTGTGAAATGTGGAGTGTGAAGTGTGAAGTGCGAAGTGAGAAGTGAGAAGTGTGAAGTGTGGACTGTGAAGTGTGGAGTGTGAAGTGCGAAGTGAGAAGTGTGAAGTTTGGAGTGTGAAGGAAGCAGTGAGAAGTGAGAAGTGTGGACTGTGAAGTGTGGAGTGTGAAGTGCGAAGTGAGAAGTGTGAAGTGTGAAGTTTGGAGTGTGAAGGAAGCAGTGAGAAGTGTGAAATGTGGAGTGTGAAGTGTGAAGTGCGAAGTGAGAAGTGTGGACTGTGAAGTGTGAAGTGTGGACTGTGAATTGTGAAGTGTGAAGTGTGGACTGTGAAGTGTGAAGTGTGCAGTGTGAAGTGTGAAGTGTGAGGTTTGGAGTGTGAAGGAAGCAGTGAGAAGTGAGAAGTGAGAAGTGTGAAGTGTGAAGTGTGGAGTGTGAAGTTTCAGTTTGGAGTGCGAAGAGCGCAGTGTGAAGTGTGAAGTGTGAAGTGTGAGGTTTGGAGTGTGAAGGAAGCAGTGAGAAGTGAGAAGTGTGAAGTGTGGACTGTGAAGTGTGAAGTGTGAAGTGTGGAGTGTGAAGTTTGAAGTTTGGAGTGCGAAGAGTGCAGTGTGAGGTGTGGAGTGTCGAGGGAAGGACACGGTCGGGACAGGGTGTCTTTGAACTATAGGTCATTTATGTTTGGGAAACTTCCGCCGCCGGCTTGCCCGGGTCTATGTTATATGATATGTATGTGTGTATGGATGGATGGATGGATGGATGGATGGATGGATGGATGCATGCATTGATGCATGCATGGATGGATGCATGCATGGATGGATGCATGGATGCATGGATGCATGGATGCATGTATGCATGTATGCATGTATGCATGTTTGCATGTTTATGCATGCATATATATCCGTAGAAATAATATATAGACATATTATGACAAGATTCGAGATGCACAAATATGCAGTGGAAGTTGTCTTCGAACAATGATGTTCAATGCGGCAAGGCCATCATGGAACCATGGCACAGCGCCTGCAGCCAGTGCCATCACAGGACCACCTGAAGATCTGCCTCTGGCTGCAAAATGTTGCAAAATTAGACTCTGCAGGTCAACTCCCTTTTCAGATTTTTAAGCCCGTCGTGTTGCAGCGATGCCTTCCCTTTTCTTCTCAATCAAGAACACGACATCACGGACCTAACCAGATCAGCAAGGAGCTTAAACTTCCAACAAGAGGGCCCATTTTGCTAATTAGCAAGACGGCCTGATTGTCAGTGATAAATCGTGGTGAGATGTGGTGAGTTGCTAACTTGTATGCCCTCCTTCTTGAAGGTGGGGAGGCGAGCCACCTTGGCGCGACAATCAACGACTTTCTTCAATCAACAGAGCCTTGGCGTGTCATGCACGGCGACCCAGGGCCAGTGTTTTGCAACAAAGTTATGCGGGGTCTGACTGTCAGGACTTCACTCACCGATGCCGCACACTGACTGCAAATTCGTTCACCTCCTTGTCAAGTCCGTCATTGGACTCAAAGGGGTCCGAAACATATCCGAACTGCATGCCAGCATGGCGTACCAATATCTACTCAGAGTTTCAAGCCGCACAAGTGGTATATGCGAAATAAATACAAAGACCTACAAAGATCTACTAACTAAGACTGACTCTCAAGGCTGAAAAGGCGCAAGAAAGCTAACGAGGTCCAAGAGCAGGTGTCAAATCGAAGTGTCTCACTGACACATTCTTCCCGGCCCTTGCAAGCTCTGAGCGGATACGATCTTTCAATGTACCCAGCTCCCACAAACCTCGATCCCCACGACACCTCACAGGTCTGGGGAGCTCCACCGCACGGGAGATCACATTGCAAATTGGCCCACGTGCCCAGATGTATCCTCTTTTACATTCCTGAGGTTTTCGAATCTGATCAATGTAGATGAGGCCAGCAATGGCTCTGTGTGGAAGCTCTTCTTCAGGAGGTGCTTCTGGCCAGGCCTCTAAGGTTCTTTTGGCACGCTCATCATTGATCATTTGTGCACCTGCATGGAGTGCATACCAACCTTTGGGAATCGCCCAAGTGCGATTTTCTATCAGCTTGATGCCGCGCAGAATTGCAAAGACTTGCTGCGCGCCTTGCAGAGTCAATGCTTTCTGTGCACTGTCAACGGCTTCTTCAAGCTCATCATCTTCCAAGCTTTGCAACCGTTGTGGCCTGATGGGTCCCATGCTGGGAGCTGCTCTCCGCCTGCGTGGCCGAGACCCGGGCTGTGCCTCGTAATCGTTGCCATTCTTCTTGGGGTTGTGATGAAGCATGTGCGGAAAACTACCCAGGGCTCCCATCCAATCTGCTGTGGACTTGTGGCGGTCACACCAAACAATGACAGAGATGCGGGGTCCACAGTCAGGCCCTTCTTGCGGAATCATGTGCCTCCAGGTGCTGTTGATCTTGTCCGAAAAGGCAAAGACATCACCGTTGAGCTGTGGGAGTTCAATCTTGTGCCGAGTATTGCTCTTCTCTACCCACACTAGTCTGCGAGGGTCTCCAAATGTTGCACCCACTGTGAGGTCAATTGGGTAACCACCCTGGTGATACTGATCAGAGTGCAAATTGCACCAGTCAGTGCCATCTCTATACAGATTTACCAGCGTCCTGACCACACGAACACCAAAGACCTTGGAAACTCGTTCGACCAAAGCACGATAAGTCGGGGCTGTGGCCAAGGTATGTTCATCCCCAATGCAAATTTGACGGGAAAATTTCATGCCTGTCTCCAGCCAGCAATCCTTGAAGTCCAATTCTATCATCAAACGGTCAAAGACTGACATGTCATCAGGGCTGCAATTCAATCCTGGTAGATAAAACGCATCATTTTCCAGAGCATCTGGGTTTGCGTGACGACCGCGGTCAAATCGACCAATTTCGTTCCGTATCTTTTCAGGCAAAGGCCTTAAAATGCTGCTACCTGCGGACTCCTCTGGAGCATCACACTTAGCCTTCTGGACAGTTTCATAGGTCACCTGCGATGCAAAGGTTGCAATTGGACTTCTCTGTCGACCCGGGCAGCTTGTGCGTCGGCTCCATGACCTGACTGACCTTCGCTCTGATGCCAAAAGACATCCAGAGACAACCACCGAGCCCACCGAGCTCGCAAGTCCTGTACTGTGCCAAGCGGTCTGCGCTCGTCTTCCCCGCTTTGACTCTGCAAACCGTCCATGTGCACTGGATGTGCTAAGAAAGCTCAGTCTTCCACGAAGGCAAATGAAACACGTTCGTTCCACAGAAAGCCCAGAGAGCATGGCCAAACAAATGTTATCATGTGAAAAATGTGAAAATTCATGCGTTTGCCAAGACTTGACCCGAAAAGCAATGGATGTGCAAATGCTCAAAGGCCGTAAAAGGTCAGCTGGCGCGACGGCGCTCATTGAATTGCATAGAGCGTGCGGATTCTATAACTGATTGATACTGATTGATTGCATTTTCGAGCCGCCTTCATCAATCGCTTGTGTTTAAATCGTACTTTGCAAGCGAAATGTCGGCCTACTTACACCAAAAAAAAGAAACGCATCTAGAAGCAGAATGATCTGCACAAAATTGCACTGAAGAATTATATAATTAGTGAGATCCAGGATACGTGGGGCCAGCTCACCATACTACTGAAGGAGTGTTTTTGTGCAAATCACTGCAGGTTTCAGGCTGCTAGACTATGCTAGACTGCTTGGATTTTCCAAGCTTCATCACACATGCACTGCACGGAGAGAAACCGCTTGACGTGTTTCTCATGCAGTCCCTTTCACTCAGTCAGGGTATGTCAGGGTTAACACGCATGCAGCTAGCTGCACTAGTTGCAAGCTTTCATTTACACCGTCCCAGCGATGTTGGTAATCGCAGGACGCCATGCCTGTGACATCTTGTGACACGTTGCTTTTCAAAGTTGGTCAAAGTCACCCCGGTCGATCACCTTGACAGAGGCAAGTGCAACTTACATCAACTTAAATCAACTTACAAAACTTACTCTTGCTTCATGAGATTTCATGATTGAATCTTTAAATCCAACATAATCCAACTACCTGCGGGACCTATCGGGACCTCCATAACATACCATCCAAATCAAGAATCTTCTAACTCCAGGCTTTTTTCAAGTAACATTTGATAAAAGCCTGTGCTTGGATATTCTTACAATCTGCGGGTTCCCGCGCTGCTTTGCAGTTGGGCCACATAGGGGAGGTGGGTGTACTTCTTGCACGCCAGGAACTGCTTCAAATGGACTTGGAGCTCACATATGTGACAAACCTGCCGCAAATACACTCCTACTAATTTCAAAGCACTACAACGAAAGGCTGCAGCACGTCACATACAAAACTCTGCACTATCATCACTATCACTATCAAGCAAAACATGAAACAACTCTGAACTGACTAAGAAGCGCCTTTGAGCCTACGATTGCCCCATCTTCAGGCTTGTCGTGAGCAATCAGAAGGAAGAGCCTCACAAGTCAAAAGGAACAACCCGCAACTTCAACTGACCCAAAGCCGCCCAAAGCTACTACATCCATGCGATAGCACTCAGGCTCCGGCTTCAGATCGCAATAGCCACCAGCAGCAGGAGAATGAAAGCCATTCTTCACCTAAGTAATCTAAGTAGAGCATATCGGCAGCCGCTGGCATACCGGTGACGAATGACTTTGAGCACCATCGCAGACTATATCTATAGCCAATCGATCAATCGATCCAAGGGTGCTGCTCTGACGACAGTAGCGTGGTCATTCTCCACTGTCAGGCTCATGGCAAGGTTGTAGATTTCCTCGAATTCCTGGCCGGTGCAATCATTTATGCCAGGCCGCCAGGCCATGCCAGGCCTGTGGTGAAGCTTCTGAAGTTATTTTTTTACTGTACTGCTTACAACACAGTCTTGCAGCTGCAACTCATCTTTTCTTGTCAATTGTCGCTGTGCGAAGAAACTGCAAGTTGGCCGCAAGGGGAAGCATCTCCTTCAGAGACTGGAAAACCTTTGCGCCAGTTGCGGATGTCATTTTGTACATAACTCAGCCCCAAATGCCTTGAGGCTTTAGGGCATGAGATCCAGGCTATCTACGTTGACAATTCTTGACATCCCAGTAGTCAGGCGGTCAAGACAGATAGAAAGCTGTCAGCCAAATCAACGCTGGACGGCATGGACTTGAGGAGCTCATCCAAGTCCCCCAATCCTTTGGCCATTGGTGGTCCTAACCTGAGGCATACCCAAGGTCCCTCCCCATCGCGACCAATCAAAATTGGTAATAGGACTGAATGTTTCATGATATTTCAGTGAATGACCCAGCAACGAAAAAAATACGCAAAAGCACACATCACATATCTGTACATCTCTAATGATACTCTGTTGATATCGGTTGATTCTTCTCTAGATATACAGCTTCAGCTTGGCAGCAGCAGAAACATCCTGCACAATGGTTTTTCTGGATCCACGCCATCAAGCTGACCGATATTGCCCACCAACATCTTCAGATCCCCCATCAGAATTTGTGTTGGCGGCTCTATCACCTCGGCCGTTGCAGCGAACAAACAGAAAAGGCCATGCGAAGCGAAGGAGAGGGTTGAGATATGTACGTACGTACGCACGTACGTTCGATGTATGCATGCATGGATGTATATGTATGTATGTCTGTGAATACACATGCATACAACGCATCAATGTACAGTCACATATAAACAAATATAATAAATGACTTGAGTCCCAAGGGTTGGTGAACGAAAGCTAAGCAGGGGCAAGGTGGAGTGAGAGAGGTGGAGTTATATATTTATGCTTTCGCGGAGTGACTCGGTGAAATAAGTTGGTTGGTGGCGTGGGCTGGGTGGCATGGGTTGTGTAGGTTCGGGGTGGGAGGAGGTGGGGGGATTGAGCCCCTGCTCACCTGCCTCCAAGATGTTACAGGGGGAGAAGCCCAAGTTATATAGTTTAGCATGCGAATGTTCGGCTTGTGTCAAGGATAGCTACGTGATATAGCTCCTAATTATGCGACTTGTGGTAATACCACTACATAGCTTAAGCAGGTATTGGTTATTAAATAGACGCTAAGGATGTAATGGGTGTCGCTCAAGAAGGAAGTGGACTTTATGAGTGGATATGAGAACGTGAAGTTGGCTGGAATTATTTTTAAGGAAATGGATGGCTAAAAGTTATCTATGATTTTTGGTGTTGGATGAAAGTGACTACCTCAAGACTGTGTGAGAACAAGATGAACATTTACGGAATGTTATGGAACTTCGCGTGTGTATTGTCTCAATGACTGACAGTTCGAGGTCTGTAATGCTTGTAGTCAATGTTTATCATGTTTTTTAATGTTTGCATACTGAGGGGGAAGCCGAATGAAAACTTGAAAAATATGAATGAGTTCGGTCGGTTTTATGCAATTTTTGAGCCAGGTGTACGGACTGAGCTGCTGTCGCGAGTGATTACTGGTGCTTAAGTATGTTTGATACACTCATGAAACACGCTATTAATTGATTGATGGGATGTGTACTGTAATTGTATGAGGTGCATAATTACGCCGAGGGGTATTGGCCTAAGGGGGGGTTGTGTGGCCCAAGCCAACGTGGCTTTGCAATTATATACATGCTACGCGGCTTAGTTCGTGTGATCCTGTGGTATTGGCATGTAATTGGGCGAGATACATTGGGGGGAAGGGGGAGGGAGAGGGGGGAGGGTCGCGTGAAAAATCACACGTTTGGCATTTGGTCCGCCCCATCCCTTGCTAAAGACAAGAAGAAACTCGCGCTAGCTACCGCTAGCTTTCATGATAACAACAAGAGAAGTAGTCACTAAGTAGTAATATATGAATCATATATCATATATATATAACAGTAATTGGGTTTTTCGACTCAGGCAAGGAGCAAGTGTTTGCTCCAGAATGTGCCCACGTGTTGCATTCACCAACAACGTGCATAGGCCATTCTCAGTCTGCACTGGCAGCAAAGCCTTCATTCGCACACAGAATCCTCGAAGACTGCAGTCAGGTACGGAACAAAGGAGTTGCAATCGTTATAGGTCTGTTTGTTTTTTGGTGGTGACATCAAAGCATTGGGGGAATTTTTGAAGAGGAATTGAGCCAGTGGTCACTCATCACAGCATTGCAGCCAAAATGCCCTGACTTAGTAGGCTCGCAGTCCATTTCAGCGATGCTTGCATATCTGCGGTTCCGTTCTCCACAATCTGAATGGCTTTGAAGTTGGTGTCATGGATTGTTCCCAGGTTTCCCGCCAGGTTCGGCACCAAACTGGAAGGTTTGCCTGACATGAGTCTGTGGTTGGCAATATGAACAAGAACACCCTATCTACAAGCATTCATCTTGGCTGCTAGCGAAATAGTAACTTGGTGTATGATGTTATGTGCACATATAGTCGTATACGGCACCTTCAGTATACCAAGCCATATGCATTTCACACATACATACATAATATGCATATAGTTAGAATATATATAAATGATTAA